TTTTAGGTCAGTGAAATTATTCTGTAAGAAAACGTAATGGTGAATACTTGACATTATGCATTTGTCAAAATAGGACTTTATGATACAGAGTAGATCTTCATGAATGCAAATTTTAAAATATCACCTAGGGGCTTTCAGGTTATTGGGTGGTCAGAGCACGGTGCTGTAACACCAAGGTCAAGGATTTGGATCCCCATACCAGCCCGCCGTAAGAAAAGAAAAAAGATCACTTAGCAAGTTAGGGGATCCCAAGATGGAATGCGGACTGCTACAAAAGAATCTAACTATATTACGAATGTATGAAACAACCTCACCAGAGGGATATGGGTAGGGAAAAAGGAGCTGACCTATATACATAATTTTGGAAATGAGCCTATGCAATGAGTAAATGCAAACAGAACTGTATACAAGTGTTGTACTCTAGGATAAAGTCGTTCCCCAATGGGGAACAATCCTGATAGTGCTATACATGTTTAGGGAATCAATTACATAAATGGATGGTGGGTGGTGAATGCCACGTTTTTTCCTGATAGAGAATTTACAGATAAGAAAGGGCAGGAGACTAGAATCACCCATGTGGAGATGACTTAGTTGGAGACAGCAGTTATGAACTCACGTTTAGCTTAATGCAGACACACGATTGCATACAGAAATGTCCACAGGTATGTGTACACACAAGTTAGTACACACACATATTTCCTTTTTCTGGCAGCTGAGAGGCCCTCAAAGCAATGACATCCAGAAACCACAAGCACATCTAGTACCCAGATCTTGGTTTCTAACACAATTTTCCAATAAAAGGAACCAGAGCTCCTCAGAGAAATGGCTGATTCTAGGAATGAGGCAGAAAACACACAAGATAAGCCTGGAGCATCTTGTCATGATGAGGAAGTGCTCAAACAAAAACACCTGTATGGGGGGAAATGTCAAAGGGACACAGGAGCCAAATGAAAGGGCCCCCAATGGCCAAGGCTGAAACGATCTGAGCAAAAAAATTAAGTATTGAATTATAACGCCAGGTGTAAAATAAATATCCTTGAGTCCATACAGATATGTGCCTTGATTTTGGACCTCCCAGGCTCCTGAGCTGTGAGAAGTAATTTCTGTCATGTATAAGTCTAAGGTATTTTGTTACAGCAGCCAGAGCTGATCAAGACAAAAATTTAATGGAAAATGGCTTCATACAAGGGAAGGAGAGCCCATTTCTACTGGGGGCCCATGAACCATGTGAGAAGGCCAAGGCACTGTGACCTATGAAATTGTAATTTAACTGAGAAATGAAACATAGCTTCTCTTAACCTTTCATCATGAACATTTAAATGTCTGTATTTGGGCCAGCGCATGGCTCACTTGGGAGAGCGTGGTGCTGACATCACCAAGTCAAGGGTTAAGATCCCCTTACCAGTCATCTTTTTAAAAAAATAAAACAAACAGGGCCGGCCCGGTGGCGCACTGCGCTAGTGCGCCGCTTGGGAAGCGCGGCGGCGCTCCCG